ATTTAAATAATAGTTGTTAGCGCTCGAATGTTATTAATTTGTTATCTTATTATCGCACGCTGTCTCGGATATATATTATTGTCGATGTATCATGTCGTACCTACAGGTAATCATTTTGTATTGTATAAAGTTAGTCGCGTATCGAAAGTCGAACCGAGCACAGCGAGCGACCATACAACTATTTACGTAAAATAAAGCTATACAGTCCACTTGTAAACTAAATTTTTTCTTTATATAAAGATTTGATTCCACCCAGGAACTAACAATAGTCTTGAAAGATTTTTTTGATCTCGTCAAACATTTCCGTTCTCTCTTAAAATTACGAGATGTACCGTCACCATAATAACACACTTTCACGAAAACAAATTTATCTTGTATCATCGTTATTGATATACTTAAGCTATTTTGAGTATTATAATTTTAATTGAAAGTAATAATTTTAAGTTTATTACTTGTGCTTTTTCATATGCAAAAATGTACATTCCAATGGTCGTCAACATTTAACACAAACAATTTTTATTGATTTTTATTTGAAACGTAATATAATTAGTGTTTGAACATTTCATGAAATATAAGATTGTAAAATGTTTCAATATTTTAAAAAAAATTGTTTTTCTTTTATATTTCTTTAATTTTTATGTATATTTTACATTTTTTTTAGGTAGAACAAATTAATAAGACCCATTAGTCATTAAATTAATTTTATTTTGTTTTATTTAACAGGAGTCTGGAACGTTTTGACCTATGACTAGCACAGTGGTGCGCAACATGGGGGTCGCGAAATTTTATTAGGGGGTCGCCAGTAATTTTACACCAAATGAAAAAGTTTTATACTATATATATTATTTTATAGTTTTATACAAAGTAAAATTAAGCGCGTTACACACTACCTGATTTAGTGGGGCCGACAGGATAATTTGGTCAGATCAGACGTCATATCAGGTCGTGTGTAGACGTGTCGTCTGACTAATCCTGTCGGGTCTTGTCAGGTGGCCATACCATCTGATCGCCCGACCGACCGACCAACCGACCAAATCATATAGTACGTAGCACTGTCGGGCGGATTTTAGTTGGTTTATTGAGGTTAACGTGATAACACGTGTGTGTACCTCTAAGTACCTACTTCTAGTTTAATAAAACGGTGTTAAGACTGACTAAATCGTGTGGTGGTCGTACTGTGTGTACGCAACATCTGATTTGGTCAGGTATCCTGTCGGCCCGAACAAATCAGGTAGTGTGTAACGCGCTTTATTTTGTACCATCGATGTGTCAATCATAATATTATGTCATATCTTAACGTTGCGATAACAAGTTCTATTGAATCACGCAGTATATGGGTTATTTTTAAATTGAATTTAATCAGTAATTTTATTTAATCTTAAGGTTATTAAGAAATAGTCCAATAGTCATGTACGAGTCGTTGAGGTAATCCTATTAATGCTCATAATTTTGTAAACAGTAGAACCTCGATTATCCGTGTTTGCGATTAACCGTACTCACTCTTCCAAAAATTTAAAAATAAGTATGGACTGTAGATATATATGTAGTTATAATCGAACATTTTATATTACATAATACACGATATCGACAATTATATTAATGACATTTTTGACGATAATAATATGAAGATAAACAATATTATATGTACATCGATTATTATATTTATCGAATCACCTTCAGTTTGCTTTTTTCTTTCGCTATCGCCGAACGTAACGTGTGGTTAAGCCAACGTTATTAGCTTAAGAAAAATTAGAAATGAAGTAAGGAAAATTATTTCAAACCAAAAAAAACAAAGACTGATAACTTCATATTTTAAGCCCTAATAACTTGTTGTATACAATTATTGTATGTATATTATGTATATTTCTAATTATAATTGAATCAAATTTTTAAAATTTCATTATTATAAAATTGTACCTATGTATTTCTAATTAAAATTAAATAAAAATTTTCATTATTATAAAAAGTCTCGATTAACCGTGATTTTCATTTATCCGTTTGACCCCCTCCCCATCATTACCCCGGATAATCGAGGTTCCACTGTAGTTTGTAATAATTATTTGTATTTTGTATTATTTTAAACTAATATTTTTAATATTTTAATATTTTATAATATATAAACTAAAATATCGATATGGATAAATTTTTAACTAAACGACCGATGAATAGTGATGATGAAAGTGTTATAGAAACTAAAGTTCGTAAGATATCAGAAATGTCGTCAGATGTAAAAACCAGTCGAGAATATTTGAACCAAAAAGTAAATAAAAAGGACCGTAAATACCAAGACAGTTACATCAAGTTTGGATTCACTTTCGATGTTAAAAAAGGTGAGCCAAAATGTGTTATTTGTTTAGAAAGATTAGCTTCAGAAAGTATGAAGCCATCAAAGCTAAAACGGCATATAGTAACTAATCATCCTCAATTCCAACATAAAGAGGAAGACTTTTTTAAAAGGTATGAAAATTCGATAAAAGTTCAAAAAAATACTATGCGTAATTTTACTTCAGTACCTATAAAAGCTCTACCTGCGTCATTAGAGGCTTCATATTTAATTGCAAAAACCAAAAAACCACACTCTATTGGTGAATCTCTCGTTTTGCCAGCCGCTATAAAAATAGTATCAATTATGCATGGTGAATCATATGCAAATGAATTAAAAATGATTCCCTTATCAAGAGATACTATGTCACGTCGAACTGAAAATATGTCTGATAATATAAAATCACAACTCCTAAAATCACAACTCCTAAATAGATTACGAGGAAATTATTTTGCAATGCAATTAGATGAATCTACGGATATAACTAATCCTGCTCAACTTCTTGTATATGTTAGATATATTTATAAAGATAAAATTGAAGAAGACTTTTTATTTTGTCAACCATTAGAAGGACGTACAACAGGAAATGATATTTTTGTTCTTATAAACAATTTTTTAAAAATTTATGAAATTCCCTGATCAATGTGTGTGTCAATATGCACTGACGGCGCAGCTGCCCTTACTGGTTCAAAAAAAGGTTTTAAAGCTAAAGTTCTAGAAGTGTCTTCAAATATAAAGTTTAACCATTGTATGATTCATAGAGAAGCTTTAGCTTCCAAAAAACTTCAACCAGATGTTAACAAAGTACTCCTTAATGCTATAAGTGTAATAAATTTCATATAATCAAATTCATTAAATTCCAGACTTTTTACTATACTTTGCAATGAAATGGGTTCTGACAATGAAAAATTGCTTCTTCATACTGAAGTAAGGTGGTTGTCTCGTGGTAAAATATTATCACGCCTTTTTGAACTCAGAGATAAAGCACGAATTTTTCTTCTGAAACGTAATAATACACTTTCAGAACATTTTTTAGACGAGCAATGGCTTGCAATTCTGGGTTAACTTGCAGATATATTTGAAAAACAAAATTGTCTAAATTTAAGCTTACAAGGGAAAAATACTAATATTTTATTTCTTTCTGATAAAATCAATGCTTTAAAAAAGAAAACTACTTCTGTGGAAAAATTATATCGACGATGACAAATTTGAAATGTTTTCATGTTTATCAGAATTCCTCAGTGATAATGATGTGGATATTAATATGATAAAAGAAATTATAACTACTCATCTAATAAGTTTACAAACAAACTTTAATGCACGGTTTGAAGATTTGATGCGGTACCGTGATGTCGTAGGTACAATATGTACACCGACACCGCGCACCGCGTTAGCTTCTCTCCAGCCACATCATGGGTGGCGATAATATCGCACCAACACTTTCCTACCTACCTCGGACACCGGGCAGAGGGGGAAAGCTTTTGATGCCGATAAGGTAACGCACCAGCGGCCAGAGGGCGGTGTCTACGGACGAGGCCCATATTTCAACGGACACCGGTTTGGTCAACATCGACACACCGACTCTACCACCGTCACCAAAGGACCACATTTTTATACTAACATTTTAGACAAATAAAAATTGATCGTCGTATCTTTTTTTTTTGGTTTCTCTTTTTTTTTTTTGGTTTGTTTTATTCACTTCACTCAACTATGACCGGCCACCTCACCGAGGGAAAACTTACTACCGACTTGAGGCTGTGTTAAATTGACTCCCCGTAAGGAATCATCCCGGTAGCGGAAAAATAAAGGTAAGAGTTTTTCGCTAGTATTACTTCGGATTTGCTATTATTCAGTGTAATAATTAGATATTCCAGGTGTACAATATTTTTGGTTAGGCATATTTTTACGTTTCTTTTCGAAGTTAATTAGGGAAATCCGCGCGACCAAAAATATTCGCGAAAAGATTCGGTCCCGTAGTTACGTAACTAACGACCAACCACCTCTCTACCTATCCGCACCGACCCGCCGATAATTGCACGTCACGCCGATTGTGACTTGGGCCGTAGCACACACGCCACCAGTCACCACAGCTTTGTCACTATCTCCGCCGCCGTCTTTATCGAAACTTGATTATTGCGCGGCGCGGTATTTAGTTATTAGGTGCCCATACACGAGCGGATTTTATAACGGATTTGGTCTGACGGACCAAATCCTTAGGTCCTTGAAAGATTTGGTCCGTCGGACTAGGTCCTTTAACGTGTCCACTAACGTGAAAATAAAAGTCCGCTATTTTTCGCGGAGCGAATCCACCAGCGGACCATGTCCGCTGGTTGGTAGAGGAAATCCGTTGATTTTTATGCTGAGGACCTAGTCCGTTGGTCTTTCAAGACGTTCTGAAAGATCTGCGGATTTATGCGACGGACTACAACAGTTATCAGTTGTTACTTGTTATGTTATCACTCATCTACTATGAATTTGTGTTAATTTGTGTTATTTTATAATCATAAATTTTAAATAGATATACAATTGATGTCACATAATATTATACCACATTATAAGTTATAACATAATATTAAAATATATAATGAATAAACATAATATGCCTCCGAGAAAAAAAAAGTTGATAGCCGCTGCAGGATTACTAATGGTCGGGTACCATTATATCTCAAAAAGAAAAATGAGGCGTAAGTGGGTCAAAAACTGGCTTGCTAGAAGGGATTTGTTTGGTCACATGACATTATTAAAAGAGTTGAATGAAAATGAACCAAATGATTTGAAAAACTATTTGAGGATGTCAAAACCAGATTTTGATCGACTCTTGGGTAAGTGTCTTACAAATTAAAATTATTCGTCATATTATTAGATTCTGAGCGATGCGATGAATGTATTGATTTTACAATGATGTGTGTTTTTTTTTAAAAAAATTTTTGTGCCTGTCATCACCTTTTAGGACAGTAAAAGTGCTTGGATTTTCTTCAATAGTAACTTTTCTGATAGGAAAGTGAATCTAATTGGTACTTTGGAGGGTCAAAAGTAAAAATTTCACACTAGTTTTCAAAAGCGCCGTGAAAAACAAAAGAAAAATTAAGGAAAAACCAGAATTTTTACGCAAAATCTGTTTTCGAGACAATCGATTTTGGTTTTTACTGCAACTCAAAAACAAATGACCGTAGATACTTGAAAATTGTACTGAATGTTTATATTAGCATTTCCTATACACGATAAAATTTTGAAAATAATTTGACTCTTTTTGAGCTGTTAACGGACATTGTCAGTTTTCATTTTTTTAGTTTTTTTTTCTATAAATATCAATAAAATGTACAAATTTATTTTCTACTTAGATTTACTAAGACCACACATAACAAAACAGGATACAGTAATGCGCCAGGCAATACCTGCAGAAGAACGTCTTATAGCTACTTTACGGTTTCTAGCTACTGGCAGGTCATATGAGGACTTAAAATTCAGTACAGGAATTTCTGCACAAACTCTTGGTTCTATTATACCTGAGACATGTAAGGCTATCTATGAAATATTGCAAGACACATATATGAAGGTAAAAATAATGCTTTATTTACTTTATAATATTTAGTTACAATTTAGCAATGTATTATTAACAATTTAAGAACTGAACATTATAATACATTTTAACCATATAAGTCTTTTCTTCAGACTTAA